ATAATATATATATATATATATATATGATATATATACACACACATATATAAAGAATATATATATAACCACATAATTATATATAATATATACACACAAATATATATATGATATATACACACATAATAGATATAATATATAACATATTATATACATATATATATATATACATAAATATATATAATATAATATATATATATATATAAACATATATATATATATATATTACTTATATATATATATAATATTATATATATAATTACATATATATATATTATATAATATATATATATATATAAATACACACATATAATAAATATACTACATATATATATATACACATATATTTATATATATATACACATATTATATATATACATATATATATAATATATATACATATATATATATAATATATATATATATATAATATTTATAATATATATAATTTATATATAATACTTATACTATATATATTTATACCATATATATATATATATATACATATATAATATATATACATATATATATATATATACATATAAATATTACATATATATAAATAATTATACATATATATATAGATATATATACATATATATATATATATATAATTTTGTACATATATAAATATATATATATACATAATATATATATATATAATTACACACATTATATAATATATATAATAAAATTATACTTATATATATATATATATATATATAAATATATATATTATACATATATATATATATTATATTACATATAATATATATATATACATATATATATATAAAATACATATACATATATATACATATACATATATATACATATACATAAATCAATAGCATATACAATAATACATAAACATTATATATACAAATATATATACTACATATACATATATATGATGATATATACATTATATATATATATATATACATATATAATATATAACACACACATATAATTTTCTTATATATATAATATATATATTATATATAATATATATAAGGATATATATATATAATATATATTATAATAAATAAATATATATAATATATATATCAGTGGACCCCCCCGCATACCCGATGGCATCACTTAACGATTAATCCGAATACCGTTGACTTTAATCCAAAAAATTTGCCGTCGCATACCGCTTATAAACCCGCTCACCGATGTTCGTCCAGACGTGTTCCAATGTGGCCTGCGGCCACAGCCAGCCTCGCATAGTGCCGCCTGGTGGCATTGTTTATCCAGCCATCCTCCGGCGGTAACATCCAAGCATACAATCGAATATTTTGTATTATTACAGTGATTTCGTGCTTTTCTTTTTCTGGAAAATAAGGACCATGGGCCCCAAGAAAGCTTCTAGAGCCAACCCCTACAGCAATAAGGGTGAGAATTCCAATAGAGATGAAAAAGAGATCATTGATAAGTATGGACAAAGTGGAGTGCAATATTATCGCCGACCCTGGCCAGGTGTAACAAAAAAACCTCAATCAACCATCGACTACCTATTGGTGGTACAGCTGCTGCTGCTGCACTGTCAGCTGCTGCTGCTGCAAGCTGTCAGCTGCTGCTGCTGCTGTAGCAAAACGTCTGCTGCTGCTGCTGCTGTAGGCATCGCTGCTTGCTGCTGCTGCGTGTAGCATCGTCTGCTGCTGCTGAAGCACATCGTCCTCGCTGCTGCTGTAGCAACGTCGCTGGCTGCTGAAGCGACTGTTGTTGGTGTGGCTTATGGAGAATATACCAAGAAACAATTAACTCCAGAGGATTTTGCCACCCAGGATAACCCAAAAAAGTCAGTGTCATCGAAGACTGTCTAACTTATTACCATTGGGGTCCTTAATCTGTCTACCACAGATTCTACCCACACCAACCGACTAACACCCAGGTGAACAGGGGAAAATGCTGGAACTAGTGCTCATATTGGTGAACTTTAAAGCCTGCCAAAGGTTGGTTTTGAGAGATTTAAGAAACGTAGTGACATACACATGTGATTAAGTCCTGTTCTGGAAGAAAAATTTACCAAACAGGACCTACAGTACTCAGGAGGAAAAAGGCGACTCCCAGACACAGTGTCTCATCATCCATATTGCTGCATCTCAATAAAGTAAGTTGTCAATTTTTATTCTTCATTTATAGACTAGTACAAATGCACAAATTATATTGTGCATGAACTACTCAACTATTGTGCATGTATCCTTCCTCTTTGTGTGTAGGAAAATGTATATTTCAAGTGGTAAAAAAAATTTTTTTTTTCATACTTTTGGTGGTCTGCACGGATTAATTTGATTTCCATTATTTCTATGGGGAAAATCATTCGCATACCGATTATTCGCATAACAATGACCCCTCTTGCACGGATTAAAATCGGTATGCAGGGGTCCACTGTTATATATATATATATATAGATATAGATATAGATAATCAAGGATATATAGATAATATAAAAATATATATATATATATATATATATATATATATATATATATATATATATATATATATATAATATATAATATATATAATTTTTTTTTTTTTTTTTTGTTTTTTTTTTCAATCGTCGGGCCGTCTCCCACAAAAAAGAAAGAAAATCCCCAAAAGAAAATACTTTCACACATGCAGTCAAGCATTATTCATCCACACTCCGAACTTAATCACTGTTTTTTTGCAGAGTGCTTCAGAAATACAACATCAAAAGCATACACTATAAAGATACACAACATATCCCTCCAAACTGCCATATCCCAAACCCCTCATTTAAAGTGCCAGCATTGTACTTCCAATTTCCAGAATCGAGTCCAATATATGAAAATAAACGGTTTGTCCCTGAATCCTTCACTAAATATTACCCGGCTTCACACTTGCAACAGATTCGTCAGGTCCCAAGTACCATCGTCTTCCATTCACTTCCCATCTAATCACGCTCACGCACGCTTGCTGGAAGTCCAAGCCCCTTAACAACAAAACCTCCTTTACCCCCTCTCTCCAACCCTTTCGAGGACGACCCCTACCCCGCCTTCCTTCCCCTATAGATTTATATGCTTTCCATGTCATTCTACTTTGATCCATTCTCTCTAAATGACCAAACCACCTCAACAACCCCTCTTCTGCCCTCTGACATATGAAAGAATGGTTCTATGTGGTCAATGTGTGCAGTATAAAAAAAATCCTGTAGGACAGTGCGTAATGAGAAAAAAAAAAACTTTGAAAGTGTTTTTGGATAAAACAGCGGCTTTGTACTGTATTTTCGTATGGTATTTATTGTTGTATTCTAGTTTTCCTGGTCTCATTTTATAGAATGGGAAGTCATATCAGAAATTGAGAATCGATTTTGACTGGTTTTTTTCAATGAAAAGTACCTTGAAATTGACTCAAAATAGCAGAAATGTTTGATTTTTACCAAAGTTCAAAAGTAAACAAATCATGCTACGCATCCAATACACGTCAACTGGTGAGTCTAATATTCTTTCACAAGTGCGCTGATATTATTTATACCATTTCTACACTAATGCAGTAGTCTGCATAACAGTAAATAAACTTTTTTTTTTTGTGTGTGAAAAAAATTCAGAAGTGGAAAGCAAAAAGAATGTAAGAGCGGCGTGGGACAGGACTAATGAACAGAAGGAAAATTTTATTTTAAGTGCCTGGAATGTCCTCTTGTTTTTCTGGACACCTATTCGGAAATTGGCATGCTTTTTTGAAATTTTGTGTGAAATTGGCAAAATTGCTAAATTCTGACCTTATTGGATAGTTGAAATCGGTAAATGGGTGTTTTCTTATACTCGTTTGATAGAAAAAATGGAGTTCTAGCGAAATAGTTATGATTTTTGTCGACTAGTACAATGGAATTGGCCGAAAATAGGGCTCAAAGTGGGCAGAATCGCCGATGCGTAAACATTGTCCAGACCGCTAACTTCGCCCCTGAGAACAAGTCTCAGAGAGGGCCTGGCGACCCTGAAAGGGTTAAGGGGAGTGACAATGTTTTCCCTCTGCCAAGCTACCACACCTCCATAGTATATAAACAAAATGTTTGCATACTATGTAACATGGTTCTTACATAATTTTGAAGAAAATATCATAGATGGATTAATGAACGTAATTGACGTAAAATTAGACATTTAATGTGCCCAAGAGTGATTATTACATAATTGAGATGTGCTCATGGAGAATGTAAACAAACCGGGTGGCCCGTGCCATATTTGAAAGACCACTTGCTGTATAGAAAGTTTTGGTCGTAATTTGAGATGGCCATGTTGGTGGAACGCCGTAAGGCGAAACACCGAAAGGCGGGGCCCTACTGTATATTAGAGCTGGTTTCCTCTGTTCTGTTCAATATACTGTACACTACTGTATAAACATTTAAAGATATACCAGAAATGTTATAAGTGGTGCAAAGGTGACATTAAAACAGTATCAAAGATAATTGAAATAAACCCACTACCATTATAGTATGCTCCTCACTTAGCGACAAATTCGTTTACGAACTTATTTTTAGGAACGGAACTTGGTCGTTAAGTGAGGAGAGGCTGTAAACATCTGTCTTGACCACACCTGTGGTTACATGTGACAACCTCACCACTAATCATGGATAAACACAAGCTAGGTGTGGGGTTATGGACTGGGAAGATACAAGAGTGAAAGAGTAAATGGCGGATGCTGCCACCGCTACTGGCGTTGTCATCACTCGCCATGCTATGGCCTATTTTATTCATTCTAGAGTATATATCATGTTTTTGTTATTAATATTGCTTATTATGTCATTAGATGAATTGTGATAGATAAGCTGTAGAGTTGATATTAGTGTAATTTTGTCATGCCTCCCGAGAGGCTGGAATGGATTAATTTAAATGAGGAAAATTGACTCGGCATACGAACAAATCAGGATACGAACGAGGTCATAGAATGGATTAAGTTTGTAAGCCAAGGTTCCACTTCATATATAAAGCATTTAAGGCTTTTGTTTGAGTGTATTTTAAAAAACTTCTTTGCAGATTCTAGTAGTCGCTTGCAGCTCCTACTAAGGGAGAAGCAGAGGAGGAGAAGAGCAAGTTAGAGAAGCAACTGATTGACCAGAGCAACAATGAGCAGCATAAAGTTAGTGCCATTTCTTAGCAAGTGCAGAATTAAGTGAATTTGTGTATATATATAAATAAATCTCTTCTTATTATTTATTATTGACTTACTAACTGAAGTAAGGTTAATAATTACAAGATGTGATTATGAACTTCCAAAAAATTTGTGAATCTACTCGAGCTCTTTGTGGCCTACTTACTTTGAATCCTACCTCGGCTCGTGTCAAAGCCTGTTCTTTCTTATGATATTATTCACAATAGACTACAGACACCCAGATATCTGTTCACTTTTAAATTAATAAGAGCAGCAGGTGTGAGGACATTTTCCTACACATCTTGCACTGCATGACCCCCACATAATTCCTAACTAAGCCAGTAGAACATAAATGTTGGTTTGCTGGTAGAATCCAGTAAAAATCCTGCACACTTGCATCCTGTGTAATTGCATACACTGCTGATTTAAAAGTTTTTTTTTCCTATCAATTCTTTTATTTATATAAATATTGTAGCTAGAATTACAATGTCAGACAATGCCTTAAACCATTCAGAAACATTGATATGTGCAATGAAAATAAGATTTTGCTTGTAGAAAGAGGCTCTGTCCAACTACAACATCCCCACACCACCAAAGTGCAGGCAATACCCTTGTCTTCATTGCAATCAGTGTATGTATATGCAAGTTTTAAGTTTCAGCATTTTAAAATTGCTTTCAAAATAAGTAAAATTTACCTCTTGGACAATTAAATTTATCATGTTTAACTATAAAATGTATTACTATTTTCACTATGGTAAGCCTTTCATTTAAGACTTTTTTTTTTTTTTTTCATTAACACATCGGCCAATTCCCACCAAGGCAGGGTGGCCTGAAAAAGAAACACTCTCATCATTCACTCCATCACCGTCTTGCCAGAGGGGTGCTTTACACTACAGTTTTAAAACTGCAACATTAACACCCCTCCTTCAGAGTGCAGGCACTGTACTTCCCATCTCCAGGACTCAAGTCCGGCCTGCCGGTTTCCCTGAATCCCTTCATAAATGTTACTTTGCTCACACTCCAACAGCATGTCAAGTATTAAAAACCATTTGTCTCCATTCACTCCTATCAAATACGTTCATGCACGCTTGCCAGAAGTCTAAGCCCCTCGCACACAAAACATCCTGTTACCCCCTCCCTCCATCCCTTCCTAGGCCGACCCCTACCCTGCCTTCCCTCAACTACAGATTTATACACTCGAAAAGTCATTCTGTCTTGTTCCAATCTCTCTACATGTCGAACCACCTCAACCCCTTCTTCAGCCCTCGGCTAATAGTTTTTGTAATCCGCACTCTTCTTCTCCTAATTTGCCGAACAAATACGAATTCATCTGCATTTATATTCACACACTACACACATTGCTCTCAGACTGACATCTCCATCTGCCTCCAACCTTCTTCCCATTGCTACATTCACACCCATGCTCAACAACCCATAAAAGATGTTGGTACAACTATACTCTCGTACATTCCCCTTTTTGCTTCCACCGGACAAGTTCTTTGTCTCCACAGACTCCTGAGTGCACCACTCACCCTTTTTTCCCCTCATCAATTCTGTGATTCACGTCATCCTTCATAGACACACATGCTGACACATCTACTCCTAAATGTCTGAATAAATTCACCTCCTCCACACACTCTCCCTCCAGTCTGATATCCAGTATTTCATTACCTAATCTTTTTGTTATCCTCATAACCTTACTCTTTCCTATATTCACTTATAATTTTCTTCTCTTACATACCCTAGCACCAATTTCATCCACCAACCTCTGCAACTTTTCTTCAGAATCTGCCAAAAGCACAGTGTCATCAGCAAATAGCAACTATGACAACCTCCACATTGTGTTTGATTCTTTATCTTTTAACTCCAACAATTCTTACCAAGATCGCCGCATTCACTCTCGTTACAACCTCAATCGTATAAAATATATATTGAACAACCACGTTGACATCACACATCCTGTCTAAGCCTACCTTTTACTGGAAATAATCTCCCTCCTCCCACATACTGTAACCTGAGCTTCACTGTCCCTTTGTAAAAACTCTTCACTGCTTCGTAACCCTACCTCCTATTCCAGCACCCTGCAACAATCTGCCACATTGCCCCCCTAACCATCCACCCTGTCATACGCCTTTTTCCAAATCCATAAATGCCACAAAGACCTCCCCCCCCTTTTTTTTTTTAAGTCCTTATCTAAATAACTGGTCACTTATATTTTCACTGTAAACACCTGGTCCACACACCCCCTCGACATTTCCTATATATACATACATATACATATACATATATATACATATATATAGATATATACATATATATATATATATATACATATATATATACAGAGGACCCCCGCATAGCGAACTTAATAAATCCGTGCAAAGAGGGCTGGTCGTTTATGCGAAATGTTTCAGCTATGTCGAATTAATTTCCCCATAAGAAAATAATGGAAATAAAATTAATCCGTGCAAGACACCCAAAAGTATGAAAAAAAAATTTTTTAACCACAAAAATATGTAATTTTAGTAACACCAAACTGAAAAAGGCATGCACAATTAGCATGACACTTACTTTTAATAAAATTTTTGGAAGATCAGGTGATGATGATGGATGGAGGAGGGGAGAGAGATGTTTTATGTTTAGAAGGGAATCCCCTTCATTAAACTTGAGGTAGCAATCCTTTTCTGGGGTTACTTCCTTCTACTTTTAATGCCACTAGGACCAGCTTCAATCACTGGGACTTCTGTCGCACAACAAATCTGTCCATAGTGGCCTGTACCTCTCGTTCCTTTTATGATTTGTCTAAAGTGGTCACAACAGTGTCATTGTAACAGTCACCAGCACGGCTTGCAATAGCTGTGTGGAGGGTGATTTTTCATCAAAAAGGTTGCACTTCAGCCATTTTTGCAACAACATTTTTCTCTGAATCTTTGAAGTAGGCAATTCCTTCAATTTCTCTCTCCCCCCCCTTTGAACCATTTCCCCAGGTCTGGCCTCTGCTCTTGAAGTGGATCATCAGCTCATCAGTGGTTAGGTTCTTCATTGTCCTCCTCCACCAACTCTTCCACATCCTCCCCACTAAACCTCCAACCCCAAAAAAGGAACCCTTTTTTCCCCAATTACCACAATTGAGTATCCTCAACTGGTATTACTACCCTCTCAGGTTAGCCTCAAACCCTTTCAAAATCCCTTTTGTCTACACATTCTGGGCCACAGTTTCCTTCCAAGCAGAGTTCAAGGTTCTCTTAGTCACTTCCTCCCAAGCCTTACCTATAAGGTTTACCTACAATTGGAGGATAATTAAAAGTGATCCTTCCAAAACTCTTTTAGAGTCAATCGTGTGTCTGTGGTCACTTCAAAGCACTTTTGAAACAGAGTCTTTTGTGTACAGTTTCTTGAAGTTGGAAATGACCTTGCTGGTCCAGGCTCAGGAGAGGAGTGGTATTAGGAGCAAAAACTTCACCTTAATGAAGCTCATGTCCCAATAAAGTCGCTCTGGCAACGTCTGTAGGATGACCAGGGCATTGCTAACACCAGGAGGCACTTAAGGTCCTAATTTCTTTTCTAGTTAGGTAATCTTCACATTGGGGGTAAAACAAATGCATGGTGTAACCAGTTATAGAAAAATTCCCCTAGTACCCATGCCTTACTGTTTGCCCGCACACAGCACACACTAATTATCCTTGAGGACATTCTTTTGCCTGAACGCTCTGGGAGTTTCAGAGTGATACACTAATAAAGGCATAACTTTGCAATCAACACTAGCATTGGCACACATCAACAAAGTAAGCCGTCTTTCATATGGCTTATGTCCTGGGAGTGCCTTTTCCCCTCCTGAGTAATGTAGGTTCCTGCTTGGGCATTTTCTTCCAAACAGACTGTTTCATCACAATTAAAACCTCTTGTTCAGTTCTGCACATTCCTTCAGTTTCTAATTACTCCTTGAAAGTTCATGCATAATATTTTTCAGTCCGCTTTGTGGTCCGTAACTGGCAGCCTCAAAAACCATGCCGTATCACACTAATGGATGCCACTACGCTCTTAAATCTCTCAAACCAACCTTTGCTGGCCTTTAAATCCACTCACATCATCACTAGTTGCAGGCATTTTTTTAAATTAAATCGTCATGCAACTCCTAGCCTTTTCACATATGATCGCTTGGAGAGACCTAATCTCCTGCTAGCTGTTTTTCCATTTAACCCACCAATAAATCTCTCAACATCTTCCATCACTTGCGATCGTTGTTTCGAAAACAACAGTTAAACCTTTGGCAACAAACAGCTTCCTGATTGCCGTTTTCTTGACCACAAAGAAGCGATGGATGATTTTTGTTTTCTTGTACAACCTGACCAGGTCGGTGATACGTACTCCACTTTCATACTTATCAATGATCTCTTTCCTTCATTTCAATGGTATATCTTACCCGTTTGAGGTTGTAGGGTGGCCTATGAAGCTTTCTTGGGGCCCATGGTCACTTATTTTCCACAAACAGCACCGAAAACACTGTATAAATACGAAATATTCCGAGTGAAATGCTTGAATGTTACCGCGGAGGCTGGCTGGAAAACAATGGGAGGGCGGCACATGTGAGGCTGGCTGAGGGCGCAAAATTGGACGCTTCTGGGACGAAGGTCGCTGAGCGGGTTTTTTGTCCACTATGCGGGGCAAAATTTAGCAAAACAAGCGTTCGCTATGCGGATTGTTCGCTATGCAAGGCGTTCGCTATGCGGGGGTCCACTGTGTATATATATTTATATATATATAATATATATATATATATAATATATATATATATACACACACACACACACACACACACACACACACACACACACACACACACACACACACACACACACACAAACACACACACACACACACACACAACACACATATACACACCCTAGGTAGTAGGTTGGTAGACAGCAACCGCCCAGGGAGGTACCACCGTCCTGCCAAGCGAGTGTAAAACGAAAGCCTGTAATTGAAAGAAGAAAGAAAAAAAGGATTGCTGGTGTCCTTTTTTCTGTCTCATGAACATGCAAGATTTCAGGTACGTCTTGCTACTTCTACTTACACTTAGGTCACACTACACATACATGTACAAGCACATATATACACACCCCTCTGGGTTTTCTTCTATTTTCTTTCTAGTTCTTATTCTTGTTTATTTCCTCTTATCTCCATGGGGAAGTGGAACAGAATTCTTCCTCCGTAAGCCATGCGTGTTGTAAGAGGCAACTAAAATGCCGGGAGCAAGGGGCTAGTAACCTCTTCTCCTGTATATATTACTAAAGTAAAAGGAGAAACTTTCGTTTTTCCTTTTGGGCCACCCCGCCTCGGTGGGATACGGCCGGTGTGTTGAAAGAAAGAAGATATATATATATATATATATAAATATATATAATATATATATATATATATAATATATATATATATATAATATAATAAATATATATATGTATATATATATATGAGGTTTAAAATCATAGAATTGATGAGGGAAAAAAGGTGAGTGGGTTGAGGATATGTGGAGTCAATAAACGTTATCTATGGAGGCAAAGAAGGGAATGTATGAAAGTATAGTAGTACCAACACTCTTATATGGTGTGAAGCTTGGATGGTAATGCAGCAGCGAGGAGACGGTTGGAGGCAGTGGAGAATGTCCTGTTTAAGGGCAATGTGTGGTGTAAATATTATGCAGAAAATTCGGAGTGGGAAATTAGGAGAAGGTGTGGAGTTAATAAAAGTATTAGTCAGGGCAGAAGAGGGGTTGTTGAGGTGGTTTGGGTCATTTAGGGAGAATGGATCAAAGTAGAATGACATGGAAAGTATATAAATCTATAGGGGAAAGGAAGGCGGGGGAGGGGTCGTCCTCGAAAGGGTTGGAGAGAGGGTAAAGGGTTTTGTGGGGAAGGGCTTGGACTTCCAGCAAGCGTGCGTGAGCGTGTTAGATAGGAGTGAATGGAGACGAAATGGTACTTTTGGGGCCTGACGATCTGTTGGGGTGTGAGCAGGGTAATATTTAGTGAAGGGATTCAGGGAAACCGGTTATTTTCATATAGTCACTTGAGTCCTGGAAATGGGAAGTAAAAATGCCTGCACTTTAAAGGAGGGTTTGGGATATTGGCAGTTTGGAGGGATATGTTGTGTGTCTTTATATGTGTATGCTTCTGGACTGTTGTATTCTGAGCACCTCTGCAAAAACAGTGATAATGTGCGAGTGTGGTGAAAGTGTTGAATGATGATGAAAGTATTTTCTTTTTGGGGATTTTCTTTCTTTTTTTTGGGTCACCCTGCCTCGGTGGGAAACGGCCGACTTGTTGAAAAAAAATATATATATATATATATATATATATATATTATGCATGCATGCATGCATGTGCTTGCCTGTGTAGTGTGACCTAGGTGTAAGTAGAAGTAGCAAGATGTACCTGTTATCCAGCGTATTTACGAGACAGAAAAGACACCAGCAATCCTACCATCATGTAAAACAGTTACAGGTTTCTGTTTCACAGTCACCTGGCAGTACGGTAGTACCTCCCTGGGTGGTTGCTGTCTACCAACCTACTACCTAAGACTAATATAGGGCACTAATGGCAATTGTAGTGGATAAGACTGTTTGCTGTGATCATAATAACAGACAATTATCTAACCTATAGACTTGGTCCATTGTTTCCATACCAGCTGACTTGATGGATTTTGTCCCATATTTATAAACCTCTAATGGAGTTTTCACTGTATTTTTAGTTACTGAATTGATAGTGTATTTTAGGTCATACCTCTTATTCATTGATTGTTTTTTTTTCCAGATTGAGCTCGAACAATATGTAGAGATGCTCAACAAAGAAAATGCCGAGTTTAAAAGCAAGTGTGCAGCTAGTGAGGAACTCTCCAGTAGACAGATGTCTCAACTTAGCAATAAAGATGTTGTTATTGCAGCTTTAAACTCAAAGGTAATATTACATAATTTAATATTCGGTCAATTATATTCCATTAACCCTTTCACGGTTTCAGACGTACTAGTACGTCTTACGCACCAGGGTTATTGATGTACTAGTACGTGTAAATTCTAGAGCCTTCAAATTTAGCGAGAGAAAGCTGGTAGGTCTACATATGAAAGAATGGGTCTGTGGTCAGTGTGCACAGATTAAAAAAAAATCCTGGAGCACACTGTGCATAATTAGAAAAAAAAAACTTTGAATGTGTTTTTGGTTTAAAACTGAATTTTCACTGTATTTTCGTATGGTATTTATGGTTGTATTCTAGTTTTCTTGATCTCATTTTGTAGAATCGAAGACATATTACAGAAATTGAGATGATTTTGATTGGTTTCACAAGGAAAAGTACCTTGAAATTGAGCTCAAAGTAGCAGAAATGTTTAATTTTTTCCAAAGTTCAGAGGTAAACAAATCATGTCATGCATCCAATACACATCAACTGGTGAGTCTAATATGCTTTCACAAGTGCGCTGATATTATTTATACCATTTCTACACTAATGCAGTAGTCTGTATAACAGTAAATCTTCTATTTTTTGCGAGAAGAAAAATTCGAAGTAGAAAGCAAAAGAAATATAAGAGGGGCCTGGGGACGTGACTAATGAACAGAGAAAATGTTAGTGCCAGGAATGTCTGTCTTGTTTATTTTGGACCCTATTTGTAAATTGGCATCTTTTGAAATTTGTGTGAAATTGGCAAAATTGCCAATTTCTGACCACTATTGGATAGTTCAAATCAAAAAATGGGTGGTTTCTTGTACTCATTCCATAAAAAAAAATGGAATTCTAGTGAAGTAGTTATGATTTTTGTCAGCTAGCACAGTGGAATTTGCCGAAAATAGGGCTCAAAGTGGGAGAAATCGCTGATGCGTAAAATCAAGACCGTAAACTTCGTGAGAGCATAATTTCATAAGTTTTCCATCAAATTTTGTACTTGTCATTATAATCGGGAAAAGATTCTCTATCATTTCATAAGGATTTTTTTTAAATTTTTGAAATTTTCGACACTGAGAACAAGTTTAGGAGAGGGCCTCTCGACCCTGAAAGGGTTCATACTATTACAGTAATACAGAAGTACTAAATCTAGATAGGGAGTGTGCAATTTTTTTTCTCCAATGTAGGCTGTAAGAAAAGTACTGTTCATTCTTAGTTTGTATCAGTCTGGTGATAATGCATATTCATATTTTGTGTTGTATGGTAATTAAGTTTGATTATTCATTAATTGTATTTTTTCTAGCCAGCAGTCCTTTCATTTCCCACTTTTTTTTCCTTGCTAATTAAAGTTTGGAAGTTAGGAGGAGGTGCGGGATTACCAAAACTGTTGTCCAGAGGGCTGAGGAAGGGTTGTTGAGGTGGTTCGGACATGTAGAGAGAATGGAGCGAAACAGAATGACTTCAAGAGTGTATCAGTCTGTAGTGGAAGGAAGGCGGGGTAGGGGTCGGCCTAGGAAAGGTTGGAGGGAGGGGGTAAAGGTTTTGTGTGCGAGGGGCTTGGACTTCCAGCAGGCATGCATGAGTGTGTTTGATAGGAGTGAATGGAGACAAATGGTTTTTAATACTTGACGTGCTGTTGGAGTGTGAGCAAAGTAACATTTATGAAGGGATTCAGGGAAACCGGCAGGCCGGACTTGAGTCCTGGAGATGGGAAGTACAGTGCCTGCACTCTGAAGGAGGGGTGTTAATGTTGCAGTTTAAAAACTGTAGTGTAAAGCACCCTTCTGGCAAGACAGTGATGGAGTGAATGATGGTGAAAGTTTTTCTTTTTCGGGCCACCCTGCCTTGGTGGGAATCGGCCAGTGTGATAATAAAAAAAAATAAAATTAAAGCCCTAATTGCATCTCAAAGTTAAATACAGGAAGGCCCCGCTTTACGGCGTTTCACTTTACGGCGTTCCGCTTATACGGTCATTTCAAATTATGACCAAAACTCGCTATACGGCTCCTCCCACCTGACTTTCTAATACGGTCACCGCGCCCCACCTTGTTTGTTTACATTCTTCGTGAGCTCAGTAAGCACTAAGTCTCTCCATTTTGTCTGGAAACTCCAAAATTTCAAATGTTTTTAAAAGTTATTTCATATTTTATATATACTCTGATAATTATACTTATTATTAGGTGGTAAGTTATTAAATGCTGTAAAGAGTTTTTATGAGGATAGTGAGGCTCAGGTTAGGGTGTGTAGAAGAGAGGGGGACTACTTCCCGGTAAAAGTAGGTCTTAGACAGGGATGTGTAATGTCACCATGGTTGTTTAATATATTTATAGATGGGGTTGTAAAGGAAGTAAATGCTAGGGTGTTCGGCAGAGGGGTGGGATTAAATTTTGGGGAATCAAATTCAAAATGGGAATTGACAGTTACTTTTTGCTGATGATACTGTGCTTATGGGAGATTCTAAAGAAAAATTGCAAAGGTTAGTGGATGAGTTTGGGAATGTGTGTAAAGGTAGAAAGTTGAAAGTGAACATAGAAAAGAGTAAGGTGATGAGGGTGTCAAATGATTTAGATAAAGAAAAATTGGATATCAAATTGGGGAGGAGGAGTATGGGAGAAGTGAATGTTTTCAGATACTTGGGAGTTGACGTGTCGGCGGATGAATTTATGAAGGATGAGGTTAATCATAGAATTGATGAGGGAAAAAAGGCGAGTGGTGCGTTGAGGTATATGTGGAGTCAAAAAACGTTATCTATGGAGGCAAAGAAGGGAATGTGAAAGTATAGTAGTACCAACACTCTTATATGGGTGTGAAGCTTGGGTGGTAAATGCAGCAGCGAGGAGACGGTTGGAGGCAGTGGGGATGTCCTGTTTAAGGGCAATGTGTGGTGTAAATATTATGCAGAAAATTCGGAGTGTGGAAATTAGGAGAAGGTGTGGAGTTAATAAAAGTATTAGTCAGAGGGCAGAAGAGGGGTTGTTGAGGTGGTTTGGTCATTTAGAGAGAATGGATCAAAGTAGAATGACATGGAAAGTATATAAATCTATATGGGAAGGAAGGCGGGGTAGGGGTCGTCCTTGAAAGGGTTGGAGAGAGGGGGTAAAGGAGGTTTTGTGGGCAAGGGGCTTGGACTTCCAGCAAGCGTGCGTGAGCGTGTTAGATAGGAGTGAATGGAGACGAATGGTACTTGGGACCTGACGATCTGTTGGAGTGTGAGCAGGGTAATATTTAGTGAAGGGATTCAGGGAAACCGGGTATTTTCATATAGTCGGACTTGAGTCCTGGAAATGGGAAGTACAATGCCTGCACTTTAAAGGAGGGGTTTGGGATATTGGCAGTTTGGAGGGATATGTTGTGTGTCTTTATATGTGTATGCTTCTGGACTGTTGTATTCTGAGCACCTCTGCAAAAACAGTGATAATGTGCGAGTGTGGTGAAAGTGTTGAATGATGATGAAAGTATTTTCTTTTTGGGGATTTTCTTTCTTTTTTTTTTTTTTTTTGGGTCACCCTGCCTCGGTGGGAAACGGCCGACTTGTTGAAAAAAAAAAAAAATGTATACCTGTACTTAAATAAACTTACATACTGTGCTGGCATGCAGGTACACATTAAAATCAGTAAGAGTGTCTTATGTCTCCAGACGTCATATTAGTAATGATAATAATCATCGTCTCATTTAAATGTCGTATATTACGTTAAATACACATTTTCATTAATCCATCTATGATATTTTTTCAAAATTATATAATAAACACGATACATAACATAAGATAATAAATACACCCCACAATAGAATAAATAAACATAAATATGAGATGTGGTAGCAGACGACTTGCACAAGTGACGCCATATTAGAAATGCTAATAATAATAATAATCACCGAGTCTTATTAAATGTTGTATATTACGTTAATATACACATTTTCATTAATCCATCCATGATATTTTTTTCAAAATTATATAATAAACACGATACATAACATAAAAAGATGATAAATACACCCTACAATAGAATAAACAAACATAAATATGAGATGTGGTAGCCAGGTAACTTGTACAAGTGATGCCAAGAATAACATTTTCTCTAATCTAACATAAGAGAAAATGTGTTACTGGGGGTAACTGTAGAAAATTATTCCTTTCGTATGTATGTAAGTAAGTTTATTTAGGTATACACAAATACAGTTACATAGATTATCATACATAACATGTGTAGAGAACCTAGGATAACCCAAAAAAGTCAGAGTGACTTATTTGCATTGCCTTCACTCAGAGCATCATTTCTTCTCAAAATGATGTTACATGAGAATGGGAGTGTTCTTTATTTATTCTACCGTATCAGTGTAGAGACAACCTGTACACAATGTAACTTGTACACAAACCAGACGTGTACACTTTCTTTGTTTACAAAACTTGCCTTCGCCTGGTTTGTTTACATAACTCTGCGCCTGTCCTCTCTCATGCACTCATTCTCTCTCTCTCTCATTTATTCGTTTTATCTCATTTACTTACTCCTGACCCTACATTAAGACTACAAATATTTTAAGGTAAGTAATGAGTGAACTGTATATACATTTTATCGCTCTGGGATGCTTTTAAATATCATAGAATATATGTGTGGGTGGGTTGGCCTGGTATGGTAGCCCGGCTGACTACCATACATACCACACTTGATTTTTTACAATAAATACTACTCATCTCATCCTATATTTTAAGGTAAGTAATGAGTGAACTGTATACATTTTATCGCTCTGGGATGCTTAAATATCATAGAATTGTATGTGTGGGTGGGGTGGCCTGGTATGGTAGCCCGGCTGACTACCATACATACCACACTTGATTTCTTACAATAAATACTACTTGTCTCACCCTAGATTAAGACTATAAATATTTTAAGGTAAGTAATGAGTGCACTATGTGTGTATTGTACTTTTTTATTGTTTTTTGATGCCTGGTTCTATTGCTAACTTAATATATGTTAGTGTAAACTTGTTATCTAGTGTTTGTATGCATTTGTAAGTGGAA